AACCAAGACAGAGAGGCACCTCTGGCTTGTGGCACCTGTGCTGACAGGGTCCTAGGTACCCCAGGGACACCTTGGTTGTGTTTTCACAATTCTCCAGTTCAGGTGCGTGTAGAAGGCCATGAACTTGCTCCTTTTTTATAAACTGTTCCCTTTTAGAACAATTAAAAAAGCTCAATGCACTCTCTCTTTCAAGTCACACACTCTATGTTTCCAATAACATGGCAGTATATTTTCTTGTAGATTTGGAGAAAAAATATGCCAAAAAAACCCCATCTCAAATCTAGGTTCTGTTCAGAAATCTAGTGAGTACTTATTTAAATTCATTACATACCTATTTATCCATGAAGATCTGGAGCTTTTTGAAGGCCAAAGAGGTTGGAAGTTTTAACTTTGAAAGATACACATTTGGCACATGGTAAATTCCTACTGTCATAGGCCCTGTGTGATTTTTAACTTCTTTGCTGGCCAAGCAAGATTAAGAAGTCTGCCACAGTGTAAGAAAACATCCTCAGCAGTTGAATATTCCCTCTTCTTTAAAGCTCTTCTCAAGTACAAGACAGTTCTGCATTTTCTGCAATTTATTACATGAAATAATTTCAAATGGGTATTAAATTACCTCAAATTTTTCAGCCCAAATCAATACACATTTATAGTGAGCAGTGGAAGGCCTGCAGCATGAGAAGGATGAACAGCAAAACTGACTGCAAAGAGAAGTATGGGGCAGCTGAGTCATTATCATCTGACACAGCTGATATAGCAAGAGGTGTGAAAATTAATGAGAAATGGGGTCTTGCAACACCTGATGATCCTCAGAAATTTAGGTGGTTATGGTGGGTGCTCAACTCAGAAGGGGTGATTTGCTGCAGCAAAATATTAGAGAATTCTGTTTTTCCCATCTAGAGGAATACTAAAACCCAGTGCAGGAAACAGCAAGCCCTGGAAATGTACTTTGGGCTTATTCCCTCTGGATGCTGCTCTGTGTTCAGCTTGTCTCCAGATCTCTTCTGTGTCAGCAGCACCACAGCAGCCACTACCAACTGAAGGGATTGGTTCCCACTCCCCTGGTGCAGGTCTCTGGAGGTGACAAAATCCTGCCAAGCTACAGGCGTGCTTATCAGTGTGGCTAAACACCTGGTCCTGGGAAGCTTTATATCACAGGGTTCATTAAGGTTACTGTCAGGGATCAGCTCCGCTGTTCATCGTTGGGGACATCTTCAGGAATCTCCTGTCATGAAATACCTAAAGGAATTTCTGTGGTAGCAGAAATTCAATAAACTACATAAAAATATATATACTATAAACTAGTCTATAAACTATTTCTGTGGTATAAGAAATTCTATATGTGAGTGAAGTTAACACACATAATCAAAACTGTACACAAAAGGTACAGTAGGAAACACGACTGTGTAGTAGGAAACAAGATTAGGTGATAAATCACCTCTTATTGCAAAATTTAAAAACGAAATTTAAAAAGGAGAAAAAGATTTAATAAAGTGGTCCAGCTAGGTAAAAGCTTGAGCAAGAAGGAGTGATAGCCCAAGAAATGGTTGCATCCAAAATGTATAAGTCAAAAGGGGTATAAATAGTTAAAGTAAATAAATGGCACTGAAAGTACATACAATTTTAAAATTAAATCAGAAAAGCGTGGGTTTAATTCCAAAGGGAACAGTGTGTGCCAGAGTATCGAGTTATACGTTGCTGTATTGAAGAGTAGGTCAAGATCTTATCAGCTCTATTATGAGGAATGTCAATAAAAGGCTGTGCTATGATAAAATGTTTAATTAAAAATGAACATTGTGCAACAGATGAACTCTTTGTATTATACAGAAAAAGGAGTCAAATGGATTGTGTTCTCCAAGTTACAAATTGCAGTGAATCATTTTCCTTCCATCAAACCTTCTTATCACTATAAAATCTTGTATTAAAAAATGGATTTACTTATACTACAATTTTTTACAAATTAGTGTACAACTACACCTACAGGATGCTTCAAATACTGGAGTATCTGGAACAACTGTGAGGAGAAGAACACTAGGGTCTTGTTTTCTGGGTATTCTTTCAGGTGAATAGGTGGTTTGCTTTGGCAAGTTAATTAACAAAGCAAAATATTAATATTGATTCAGTGAGTTGATCCAAAAGCAACAGGAACAAGCAAGACTCAGTATTTTGGTTCATTACTTATATAATATACATGTACTCAGCATGACTGCCCTAAACATCTCTCACAGTTCAGTACAGAAGGTGACAAACAATGGCACCAAGAAGACAACAAGGAACTCAAAGTAGCAACACCCATTGTAGACAGACATCATGATTGTTCCCTGGTGAAAATACTTTACCCCCATCCCCTCTGCAATGTTAACCATCTTAGACACTGATCAGAGCCAGGAGACTTATCTATGAGAGTAAAGGCAAAGGGATCCAAGATGGAAAATATGGGTTTTACACAGTTTTAAAGGAATGATGCAAAATGCAGGGAGCAGAAAATGGTAAATTAGCGCCATAGGACTAGGCAAAAATGGCTCAACACCTTCATGGCCTTCCTTCCCAGCATAACTTTGTGTAACAAAGCATGACAGAACGTTCATATGGACACTTGGGCCAGAACATGCAGAAGAGAACATTTTTAGTATCTCTACCACTCAGCTTCAAACCCCCAACAGAGCATACAGATGCATATGGACAGATGCACTGCATAAACTGTGTACTTGTTAAAACACAGCCCAAACTGGGAGAGATTTCTAAGGACAAACGTTGTAAAATTCCTAAAACAAGATATACCTATAGAATGAAACTTCCAATAGGAGCCGATGAACCTGAGATATTGAAACAGATAAATCAGATAACAGATAAGAACACACTCAGCATTTCATATCTATCCCTTTTTCAGAAACAATTAATAATTGTATTAAAAATATCTCAGAGTTAGAAGTAGCTTTGGCGTAGCATTCATGGTTTTGGAAATCAAAAATTTATCCTCATATGTCAGACAACAATTTTTTTGGGCTCTAATGGCTGTGCTATTCAATAAGTGGAATATATTAAAGCAAAGAGCTCCACTGATCAGCTGATAGAAAAAAAATATTGTGTAGAAAATAAGAATTCTGGTGCCCTTTAGTCAAAGGATTTGTAAGTTATGAATGACCTGTGGGCAGCACATGCTCCAGATGTGAGAGTGTGAAAGAACCTATTACTATAGCAAGAATAATACTGAAGTACATCTTTTCATCCACAGACAAAGCTAAACTTATCAAATCCAAACTGTTAGTAAGGGGAAAATCCACCATATGCTCATGAAAGAATTTGCAGTCATAGAAACTGATGATATTAAAGAGCTATTAAATGATCTAATCTTCCTCTCAGAGTTAAGCCTTGTTTTCTGCACTTGCATAATAATAACTCACCTGTAGGATTGCCACCCTATCCCTTGGTAAATTGTTCTGGAGTCCTTTATCTTTTCATCAGATACTATTTCCTGAGATTCAATCTATAATTACCCATAATGGTACGGTCATATTTAAGGACAGAAAAATATAGGTATAGAAACATGTTTCCTTCAAGCATAGGACATCCCAAATCAAGAAAAAATAAACTTCAATAAGACAGAATTATTACCTAAGAAGCAGATTTGGTAGCAATATTAAAAACTAAGTCCTCACAGGAGGTCTAGTTAGGGGTAGGAATAGAACAAATCCTTCACCAGGAGCCAGTAGAGATTCCCAGGGTCATGGCCTAGTTGAAATTAAGAGAAAAACTCCTACTGATTTCAATGGGGCCAGGATATGGTCCCCATATTTTATCCATAGTATATCATCACAAGTGTAAACTACAAATGAAGCATCATGAGGTGAGGTGCCTATAATTCCTGGTGTTTTCATCCACTGTTACAGCCAAGACCTCTCCCTGAACTCCAACAGAGGCAAATTAGTTCCACATGTCAGATACTGACCGTAATATTTTCCCTTACACTTGGTACACAATGAGGAGATGCAGTACAGCACAGAGCAATTAATACATTTCTTTTTGTGAAATAATGCACAACAGAATAACTCAGAAAAGATGTTGCTCACTTGAAGGTTGCTAGTTCATGAAAAGTATAAGTAGGAAAGGCAACCAATGGAAAATAAGATAAATTAACGCCCCCCACCCCCACTTACTGTCCAACACCTTCCTAGTTTTACTTGCTTTGTTTCAACCCTTCTTTCCCTGCAGGTCTCCTGGAGCCCCTAATTTCCTACATCACCTCTGAATCTGGGATTACAGTCTATCACAATCCAAACTGAACCAATTTTTACAGTTTCCTGAAAGAGAAATTTAACATATAGGATAGGACTGCTAAGCAGAGGCAACTCATGCATTTTGCATACCCTACAGAATCCTGCCAAGGGCTCAGCTGCCATTCCAGATGGCTGTGGGTCTATTGCGTGTTTTGTGTCATATTTACCAGTCCCATGTTTAAGTAACAAACTCTCACCTCAATATGTCTTTTACCACCAGTGAGAAAATAGCAAAAGAGAACCAAGGCCTTTAGGCAATACCTATTCATTGTACTGCCCTTTGAGCACTGATTATGTCTAACAATAATAAGAACAAGAATAAGAATAAGAACATGCAAACCTTCCTCAAATCACTCTCCTGAAACCGTTCTGTTAGGAAGTAACCTTGTCTGGGGAAGGTTAACTAAGATATGCTCTTTCTGATGACATGCACAGGGAGTACAGAGTGTACCTGTAGTCACAGGTAACAGTCACAACAGCCCAAGAATGCTCTGGAACAAATATGTGGCACAACGGAAAGCTCATGGAACACTGTAGCCCACTAGAACATCTGGACTCATTAATTTCTCTCTTGGGTAAATACCAACACAGAGGAAGCCAACAAAACCAATGACAAGTCAAGGCGAAGTCAGACTTGGAATACCTGTCTGACTTCACTCATATTAAACAGAAAAGTGACTGTGAAGAATTTCATCAGGCCTTGTGGAAGAGAATAAAACCTACCTCATTCTGAGAAGCTGCTCTCCTTTGCCAGTACTAATCAGTGCTGAACAAGGCATCACTCAGACTGGAGCATCACAGTAGACAGAAGCTGACATCTATAGAAAACGTTTCGTTCCAGTCCTGTAAAATAAAACCAAATCACAGTTCTTTCAGAAACAAAGACTCTATAAAAACACTGAGCTGTATAATTCCAATATTATTTTAATTCAAGTTACACTTGTTAAGTTAAATGTTTCACAAAGAAGAAAAAAAGAATTGGAAAAACAACAACAAAAACAAATGAAGGAACAAACAAAAAACTTTCCCCCCTCCTCAAGGCAAATTCAACTTGACTTCTAGAGTTCAAGCCATGTTTTTATGGATTTTATTGAAAAATATAATAAAATGCCTTTCTTTGAAAAACTGATTTTCACCATTTAGAAGCAGAGAGTTTATAATAGCTTAGAAGTGAAGACAGGTAAAAATCTGTAAGCTCCCATGTATTTGCCAAGTATCCAGTATACAATAGGATGTTGACTACCATGATAACAGTTTCAAAATATCCCACAGAACCATTTATGATGGAAAATTAATAACCATTTTTTTAACTAGACCATGGCACTGAGTGCCACATCCAGTTGCATCTTGAACACCTCAAGGGATGATGACACGTAGAAGTGTGAAGATAAGCTCTGTAGAATTAGACAAAATTGAAGTAAAGAGATCTATGTTGATCAAGTTGATGGTCATATAACTGGAATTTCATTTTTTTTTCTGGTAATGCATTAACTGAAGTGAAAACTGCTCATAAATCCACACAGACTTATATACAATCAATAGAAACACACAGAGAAAGGGAAACTGGATAGGGAAAAGCTGATTATTGTAGTGCAAGCTGAGACCACAAGAAAGACAAAGCCAATTTTAAAAAAAATATAGAAAATGTATAAACATTATCTTCAGGTATTCTCTTTTCAAAAGGTTTTGAACCAAATTCAAGATAGTTTGTAAACATGCATAATTTCAGTAGTGTGACAATCAAGTTTCCAAGAGATCAATGTAACACTTTGTTATATTAAGTACAAGTTACTTTATATCTCTCTTACCCACTTTGTCTGGAGTGTCAGAACCCCACTAGCACCTTCAGTAGTATGACAATCAAGTTTCCAAGAGACCAATGAATTATATTAAGTACAAATTACTTTATATCTCTCTTACCCACTTTGTCTGGAGTGTCAGAACCCCACTAGCACTCTGTTTTAATTAAAGGTATGCAGACCACACTTAAATTATATAATTTTAAGACAAGGTGAAAATATCTTTTGATATCTTTTTGAATTTGAAGTTCTTTCCATGATTGAAGACAGAAAATAAATATTTTTCAATAATCTGTTCTAAGAAGTTTGTGAACCAGGTGCCTACTGACAGAATAGAAATAAAAGATTTTTCCTTTTGACTGATGTATCTGAGATTAAATAACTATTTCTACAAGATAAATTTCTTTTTCAGTTGAAAGTAATACATATTTTAGGTGTACATAAATACAAAGCAAATGGTCCTAATATAATATAAATCCCTTTCATGAATCTCAAATGTTAAATTATCATAGAATGGTATGGGTTGGAAAAGGTCCTTAAAGATCATTTCATTCCAACCTCCTGTCACAGGCAAGGACACTTTCCCCTAGACCGGGTTGTTCAGAGCTCCATCCAACCTGGCCTTGAACACTTCCAGGGATAGAAAGGGACCTTAAAGATAATTTCATTCCTGTCACAGGCAAGGACACCTTCCCCTAGACCGGGTTGTTCAGAGCTCCATCCAACCTGGCCTTGAACACTTCCAGGGATGGGGCAGCCACAGCTTCTCTGGGAAACCAGTCCCAGTGCCTCAGTTCCCTCAGAGTAAAGAACTTCCTCCTAACCTCTAACTTAAAAGTGTTCTCTGTCAGTTTGAATGCACTCCCTCTTGTCCTGTCACTCCAGACCCTAGTAAATAGTCTCTCTCCATCTTTCCTGTGGGCTCCCTTCAGGCATTGGAAGGCCACAATTAGGTCATCCAAAAGCCTTCTCTTTTCTAGGCTGAACAATCCCAATCCTCTCAGCTTTTCCTCCCAGCAGAGCTGCTCCATCCCTCTGATCCCCTTGGTGCCTGCTCTGGCCTGGCTCCAGCAGGTCCCTGTCCTTGCTGTGCTGGGAGCCCAGAGCTGGATGCAGCCCTGCAGGTGGGGTCTCAGCAGAGCGGGGCAGAGGGGCAGAATCCCCTCCCTGCCCTGCTGCCCACGGGGCTTTGGATGAGCCCAGCACACGGGGGGATCTGGGCTCCCAATGGCCAGGGCATGTCCAGCCCCTCACCCACCAGCACCCCCAGGTCCTTCTCCCAGGGCTGCTCTGGATCTGTCCATCCCCAGCCTGGATTGGTACTGGGGGATGCCCTGACCCAGGTGCAGCAGCTTGGTCTTGGTCTGTTAAATCTCATGACGTTCCCAAGGGCCACCTCTTGAGCTTGTCCAGGTCCCTCTGGATGGCATCCTATCCTTCAGGTGTGTCACCCCCACCCCTCAGATTGGTGCCATCTGCAAAACCTGCTGCGGGAGCACTCAATCCCTTTGTCTTTTTCATTAATGAAGATATTAAATAGCACTGGTCCCAATGTGTTTGTCATGTCTGGGTATCTGCTTACATAGATGCAAGACTGAACCACAAGAGACCCATGGTTCAAACCATTACACATGGGCATGCTGAAGATGAGATTTCATACATGAAAACAACCTGACATGTTTCTAACTAGTTTTCTTTATCAGCATACACAGATATCTCCACACACAAACCCATGCACAAGTAAAATTCTTGGGTTTCAAATACTTTTTGCATAACATTTCTAGCCTTTGAAATACATATTTTAATGCCATCAGGCACTGGTGTTGTTTTTGCTATGTGGCTTAAGGACTAAATGGAAATGTCAGTCCCTCAAGTGGTAGCCATTCAACATAAAACTCGTAGCACAGTAGGACATTCTCCTTCATTACCAGTTTGCATAACCTGATGTCCTTATTCACATCCACAGTGAAAGTCACTCTTAATAAAAAACATAGAATAACCTGAAACATGTACTTTTGCCCTAAAACAAATCTGATCTTTTGGAGGAAAAGCAGTGATGAAGAATACTTGATACAAATTCATCTCTGTCAAGTAACTTTGGTCAAATCCACTTAGAATATGCTGAAATGAGGTCCACCACTAGCATTCTCTACTTCATAGCTGAGCAAACTTAGCTTTTAATAAATAAATTACGAAGATGGATCAAAGTCCACAGAATAAGAAGCCATAAGTTATGTTCAAAATTATAAAGTGTAAGTCTTTCATAAGGGGCTGCAAAACACCTCTCTGAAATAAATATCTTGTGTGATGTCAGAAGAAGAGCTACAAGGGGAATCAAAATTTTTGTTCCTAAAGCAAAACAAAACCAAATTCTCTGAGAGACAACAGAGCTCATGGAAGGAGAATAAAACACTAAAACAAAATTCCGTGATACTGAGACATTAAATGCTAAATGCTATTACAGTTCTTCTTCATTCCTTTGGACAGGGAATGAAGAAGGCAAGTGTAGTAGGAACAAACTGCCATGAAATATCCACGGCCTGCTGCCTTCCACACTAAAATAAAATTTAAGTAAAATCTTCTGTGCTTTGCCTAAGAATTCTATGGTTTGAACCGTGTGTTAAAAGAAAGATGCAGTAAGGTTCTGCTCCCAACCACAATCTGACTTCAAACCATCTTTTGACCACATCCCATATTGGTTGTTCTCTTGGAGAGGTGAGCCCTCAACATCAGATTCTCCGGGCTTCTTCTTCTCACCTGCACCTGAGGGAGAGAAGCTGTGCTTTTTCCAACATGTGCAGAAAACAAAGATTGCAGGTCTGCCTAAAAATTTCATATAAAATGGGGAAAAATGGATATTCTGAAAAAATACATTTGGTGCAGTGCTGAACAGCCAGCACTGGCTGGACAGGCATTGTAGGACTGTTGCTCTTTTCCAAAAGTCAGTGTAAAAGAGCCTAGGAAGTGGCACCAGCAGAGCCTGTGCTTCTGAGGGACAAGACTTCACTGACAGAGGTGAGGGGGATGCTTGCATTCCATCATCTACTTTGCTTTCAACATAAACTTTTCCTTATCTAGATTCTTAAAAGGCAGATACTGTGATAGGATGGTGGTATGAACAAAGCGGACAAAGAGTATTCTGTTTGATTTTAAGGCACAGTCAGACTGTTGTCCAGCAAAAAATGTAGGAATATAGAAAAAAAATTATCTATAAAGTTTTAAAAATTCTGCAGTCTGAAAGCCAAATTTAGCAGACTCAAATACTGAAAAGAGCATTTTGTTTGAATTAATAGTTACTCACCTTTTATTTTTGTAAACTGAAAATTCAACTCCTACTTTCTCTTCTTTATTTTTAGAACAAATACATATTTCTTTCACTGACCAAGACATAGATAGTCAAAGTACTAGTCTTGACTTTCAAAGAATCTGGAGTTAATTTGAAAAGATACAGGTAATTTTGATAATTTTTTCAAACATTAAAAGAAATTCTAAGAGTGCCAGTTTGCCCTGGGAAATGTCACTTCTCTCATATCATTAAGTCAGAAAAAGAATGCTGCGATTCTTTGCTGAAGGTGTCTGACAAATGGAAAAAATAGTAAATAAATTATAGATTAATATAATTAGTCTATAATACATGTAACATAATTTCTTGACTATATACTTGATTTTATACCTATGACAGTCAAAGGAAACAAAAAAAATATTGACTTCAAGACTGTGCCTGATGGGACTTTTTTTTTTTCCTTCTCACAAAGGACTTAGAACTAATGTACCTAATCGGGATAGGGTATTAACTACCTAAATATATATATTATCTTTTTAGGCTTTGTATTTTTTATCTTTACTATGGTATTTTTATCTTTACTATGGTTTAAAATTTAGAACAACAGCAAAGAAATAAATGTTTTTTGCTGAACAGAAATTAAGTGGGAGATCCACAAAAGAAAAAAAAACTGGAAAACTCATTCTGTTAACCTGGGGTCCAGTTCCCTTTTGAAAACATCCTCAGAAATTGGCATTTGTTGCCACTCACTTTTATGACAG